ATGTATGGTATTTCATCATGGCCTGTGCTGTTTTTTGAATTGCATTTATAAAGTGCATCATAGAGTTCCTGTACATTGATAGGTGTGTTTATTGGATGGTTTTCATCCATTGAAAATGTAATTGGATTATCTGTTTCATTTTTTGATTTTGAGTTTCTAAATTCGGGGGAATAATTTTCATCACTGCTGTTTTTTTCAAAGATTTCAGCAAGGGCTTCAGCTTTTTCTAAGGAGGAGTGGTAATAATAGCTATTGTAGGTACCAAACTAATAGAAATCAAATTAATTGTCTTTTTGAACCAATTATAATTTTTACTAGAAAAACAGGAGTGAGTGGTTAACCGAGTAATTAAATTATTTTATAAAATTGAATACTCTCAAAATAGTGTTCTTCATTATTTTAAGTTATAATTTATAATTTATAAACACTTTGAAGTTTTCATTCAAGATMCAAAACGTAAATTGGTTGTACATTTATATTATACTAGTAATAATATTTGAGGATATGCAAAATATAACTGAGTTATGCAAACTATAAACCTTTTTTAATAAGTTATTTCGTTAATGAACTTTTTTGTATATTGGCAAATTGCAGTGGTAACTAAAAATACCACCTAAATAATTGTATACATTTCATTAAGCAGGTACTAGACATTTACTTATATTGGTAAACAAAAGTTTTTGCAGTTGACACTAATACACTATGTATTATAGTATTATGAACACAGTACTGACTGAAACATTTAGAACATTGAAAACTGATAAAATAAAAAATATTTACGTTTGGTACCTACTATAATGTCAATGTACCTATCAAATATAAATAGCATACCATTATATTATGTGTKTCTTCTAATGAGTTTTTWACGACACTTGAATTGTTTTAACTTTTTAAGTGAGTTATGTGAATTTTTGAATTTTTGAATTGTAATATTTTATATAAATACTAACCTATTATAATTTGCTTAAAAAATTAAATGTTATTAAAACCCTAGATAATTTTCTTATTTTTTAGTTATTTTTATTTGTAAGTTTGAAAATAGTATTACATACAATACTGATTACAACAGTAAAAAATACAGACAATGTATTATAGACATTATATTTGTAAAAACAATGTGACCAATATAAATATTAAATATAATCCTATTGTCAAAATAATAATAATTATAACTTATTATGAACAAAAATGTATGATATTGTATTTAAAAAATAATTGTATTCAGAAAATGCTTACTATTTGGAAAGTAATCCATTCGGAAAAAAGGATATTCGGGAATTATTTCGATTGGTGTTGAAAAATACTAGAAATAAAAATGTATTACCTATGGTTATAGCACATTTGTGAGACGAGGCGTTGACTACACTCAGGATTTGGCGTACCTTCAATGATATAACAGATGTGATAAAATGTTTTTGAATTTTGCACGACTAAAATAGTGTACTGGCTTAAAATAGTTATTACAAAGTGCTCAAAAATGATTTCGCCCGAATTTTAATATCAGGTATTCTGGTAATATAAGACTGGTAAATGTGTTTACATACGAATATTTTTATTGTTACATGATAGGTGCTTAACAGGATGGGACTACACACGTAAACGAAACTGTTGAAATCAAAAATAAGGTTATTGTTATTAATTCGACTGCAAATCACTGTCTGTACCTACTTAGTATAATATACTTTACTTATTCCCTGTTTTATAATATTTTACTTCCTATAAGTACCTGATTGTTTTAACTTATCATAGGTAGTAATTATGCGTCGTCAAACAACTCGACGACGCGTCGCAACGTTAACAAGACGAAATAATCGTATTAATCGTCGTTTTATTTTATATTATTAATAGATTATTATTTTTACTATAGGACTACGTGTTTCAATATCATGGATCAAAAATTGGTGTGTTGGAACCACACGTGTTCGCCGTGGCCGAAGCAGCCTATAACAGTTTGCAGACCGGAGACATAGACCAATCGTGCGTGATATCAGGCGAAAGTGGAGCAGGAAAGACGGAAACGACCAAATTCATTTTGCAATATTTGTGCTCGGTGACCAGCAACGTGAGCACGTGGGTCGAACAGCAGATACTCGAAGCCAACACAATTTTGGAGTCGTTTGGTGTGTATATTATTATTTATAGAACCAGTGTATCTACGATATTATAATATTATTATATAATTACATATTATATAGTTTACACGACCTGTAAAAATATTACATAGGTAATGTGGAGTCGCTGGCTCTTATACAGTACATGCATATTATGGAGGGATGTTCGAGGGGAGGGAGATCTTTGAAAACAATAAGAAAACTGAAGTAGACAACATCATATTGTTTACTATTATGAAGAATTTTAAAAGAATAAAAGTTGATTTACAATAGAATATCCAAAATGGTTTTAAATAAACCTAAACACTTGATACATCATGAGCAGGCACAAATAATAAAAAAAATTGTGTCATTTTTCAAATGAAAACATAATATGTCCAACATTCTTTGATATCTAAATATAAATAATAGTAATAATATCGGTCATGAAAATGACTAAAAATTAAAACAACTGACTGTTGTAAATGATTAATTAGTAAAAACTAAAATTTGTTCCTGAATGTGCTTTACGAGTAGGATTTTTCTTGTAATTTATATTTTTGAAACATGAAAAGTGAGGATTTACAACGGTTGTTCACGACTTCTAATCGGATTCAGTTAAATACTGTGACGGTTATTAAGTTAAATTTTCTCATTGGGCCAATTACACGGCAATGCATCAGCGAGTATGCAGACTTTCCGGTCTATGTCTCTAATTAATGAAATACAACCATTAATTAATGTCTTATAATTGAACCTATAATCAAATTATCAATGTTTTGGAATCGACGTTGCACGTAGGTTGATACTAAGACGGTATTCATCACATACGAAAAACAAAATTAATTATGGCTATATCCCATGCTCGAAAGTCGAAATAATAATATGTCAACTGTTTTAATTTTAAATTTTTAAGTCGTTTGCTACTGAAGATTAGGTATAAGTAATTCAATGTCATTAAGTAAAGTACAGATGCGTATGGAGGTATGAATGATGAATGTATTACGATTCGATATATTTATAGATTAGGAATTGAAAATATCTATATTTATCGAAACTTTATCATAGCGTAAACAACTTGTATGTTTCATATCATGAAAAACTAATGATTATAGAAAGAGGTTATTTTGAAAATTATGACATCTCACTGGCACCTGTGTTAAGTTTTTTTTTTTTAACCGAACGAAGTAATATCGTGTCGTGAGGTAGGTAAAGATGATGGTTAGTTTTCGAAAATACGTTTAGGGGGAAAAAATTATATTATATAGTATTATAAATAAATTATTTAATAAAAAAAAAAAAAAACTAACGGAGTTAAACGTTATTTGCTATGTAACCTACTTGTAAGACGGAGAAATAAAATATGTGTGTAGCACCCTCTTAATGTAGATAGGTATCATAGAAGACAAATGCCTTACTTTTTTCTTTCTAACGATTCAAGGTGGTATTTGAGTGAAATTAATATTGGTATAAACTATAAATAGTAAATTTAACTTGGCATTGCAATAAATAATCTAAAGTACATAAAATTGGCTTTAATAAAATTATTAACTCATTTAAATCCTCTATATCGACGACCGGTAAGGAAAACGTTGTTAGTTTTTCAAAAGATATAAACGTCCAGTATTTATATTTTATGAAATAAAATTTTTTTGTTCCAGATATTATTTAAATTAAAACTATAGTTTTAAAAATTAAAAACTAACTGTTGTTTTACCAATTATAATATATATATATGAATTTCACTCATGAAATAAATGATACTTATTAGTTATTACACATTTTGCAAAAAGTGGGTTTCCATAAAACGCAATACTTAAGAACTGTATAATATAATAATTTTGTATTTTGGATATTGTGACATATGACAACAATAATAGTTATGATTAGCCAATATTTTTTATATTTTGTATTTTTTGTTAGGTAACGCGAAAACTGCAAGGAACGACAATTCTAGCCGCTTTGGAAAGTTCATGCAGGTGTGCTTCGATGGAAAATGGATGATTAAAGGATGCATTATACAAGATTACCTGCTTGAACAGTCGAGAATTACGTTCCAAAGTGCCGGCGAACGGAACTATCACGTGTTTTATCAGCTCGCCGAAGGCGCTAGGGTAAGTCGTTTTCGGATAAGTACCAGTTAGAATGTAATATAATATAATATACCAAAAGTACCCATTAGAATAATGGAATGCATAGATACTGATACTATAATATTGCAACCAAAAATTACAACTATTTTCTGACGTCTTTTGAATCACTTATTATTATTTTTATTGCTCTAAGAGAAATTATTCAATAATCAATTTTAAATTTTTAAATTTTAATAATTTTTAACTGTTTGATAAAAACACAATAATTAGTGATTACCTCCCTAAATATTTTAACGATGGGGTTTTTTTTATTACAAAGTAGGGCCAAATAACAACCAAGATAAATTCGTACTTTTGGGACGGTTTTAGTGAAAAAAAAAATACTAAGAAAAATACCTAGAAATATTAAAACTAAATGCAAATAAACCTTTTAAAACAAATTTTTCGTTATTTAGAATACTGAGAAAATATTTTCAGTGGCGTGCACTGCATGCTTTATACTCATTATTTTTTAAATATGTGCATAATACGTCATAATACATTTTTAACATTTTTAACATTTAAATATTTATTTTTGAATCGTTCGTGTTTTGAATTTTACATCAGAAAAACGAAATTAATAAGGGTGATATATAATATTAAAAGAGATCTGCAAATATATAATCGTATTTTGAATGTCCAAAAGATTTAATACAAATCGAAATTACGAGTGTTCGCTGTTAAGATAATAACCCTATATTGTGTAAATATATGAAAATAACGTTTTATCAATACTTTAGCTATTCATATTACTTATTAGTATATCGGCTAAGTGTCTTTCGTATAAATTTAAAATTACATTTTATTTATTCAATATATACTAATAAGGCATTTTTATTCTGACTGTTTTTGTTAAATGCACTTAATACATAGGTAATACAAATTCAATAAACATTTTACCTCTTGAGGGTGTTATATTAATAACATTATTTACGAATAGGTACCCAATACATTTTTGTGTGACTTAAGTTGAAAATTTAAAAATTATTTTCATAAAACAAAAAAAAAAATGATATTCTTTTGATTGACCGGACAATAATAATATATATTATGTTTATTCGTTATGTTATCGACAGCATAATAAGGACTTGGTGGAGCTGTACAAATTGAAACCACCCGAGTTCTACAACTACCTGAACCAGTCGGGCTGCATAATCATTGACGGCGTTTCGGACGTACACAAATTCGATGCGCTGCGTTTGGCGTTCAACGTGCTCCGCATACCACTCAACATGGTCGATGGTATTTTCTGCGTTTTATCAGCCATCTTGTGGCTGGGAAACACGGTTTTCCGGGTAAATATACACCATTAATATCATAAATTGTATTATACAATATGATATACCTAGCTCCATAAAACAATTAGGTAGGTAATATAGTTCTCAGAATTTAGTGGAATATTAAAGCGGTTGAGTTGGCTTTCGTTGAAAAATAACACTTAACCACTAAAATATAACAATATTGTTCTATACGAGTCGGACTTAAAATCGTAGGTAAACATTACTAAATAATATTAAAATATTGTACACTTAAGTAGTATGCAAATAAAATGATGAAATATACCTACAATTAATAATATAATATATTATATATGCTTTCCAAAAACTATATGGGTATATAAAAAAAAAAATTAAAAAATAACGTTTAAGACTTTTATCTTTAGGTGTTTTAATTTTTGAAATTCAAAAATTCATAACCTTTGTCTTCTGGGCTCCCAATACATATTATTATAACACAATATGTTATTTAAGACTTCAGTTAAGGAAATAACATAAATAGTAAATATCGGTAGTTCTTATAATTTTCAAAACTTTTATAGTAATCACTAAAAATGGTCGTTTCACTTAAATAAATTAGGCTAAGACCCACAGTTTAATTTTCTTTTCTTTTGTTTATCATAAAATATTTACTGAATTAGCTGCTTATCATATAAGATGACAAAATGCATATATTATAATATTGCTCGTGTATTCCAAAGCTGTAATATAACCGTACAATTTAAAGTTCTCCAAACTAGTTAACATTTTGAAATGGTTGAGAAAACTTTTTTTTTTTTTAATATATGCACTTAGAAGTTAAGTAATATCTTTGGCATGATCTTGAGGTATAGATTTAGAGTTAATAAAACTATCAACCAGAAAAAAAATATATAATTATATACAAATTTGAGACTTAGGTCACAAAAACGAGTCTAGCATTAGTTGTAAATTGTTATATTTTCAATTTATTTACCTACTTGAAATCTTTTTTTCTCAGTAGGAACTGATTGATGTATAACAGAATCTATCTAGAAGAATACATTTTATAGCTCTCTTACAGATATAAATTTTGTTATTTGTGATTTTGACTTTTTATTTCATACTTACATATTTTATCCTAACTCACAGGACGTCGATGGAGAAAAATGTCAACTGACCGAAAACGACCACGAAATACTATCAGTCGTGTCTCACCTACTAGGACTTCAGAAAGAAGACGTGGTCCACGTGGCATTGCTCAGACAGATAAATGTGCGCGGAAACATCACTGAAATACCTCTAAAATTACCAGAAGTACGTAAATGATAATAAACATATAAATATAAGTCATCGATGGTGCCAAAATTTGCATCATGATGATCATTGGATGAGTTGTAAATTTACTAATGAAAAATACAACAAATATAAAACTAATTTAAGATCCAGATGTTGATGCTAAATAAGCACTTTCGAAATTCCCGACGGTTTAAAAATAATGCCTCTTAACTTGTAAATTAACTTAAAATGAACTTTGCACATAAACCATATTTTTTATGTATAAGGTATACATTTACAACACAATGACGTTAGAAAAATATTTTTTAAATAGATTTGTATGCTACGTAAACATGTTTTTGAAAGCACTGTTAACGATTAAAAAAGTCATCAAAACTTTTTCATCAAAATCCGGACCTGTAGTTTATTATTGTATGCACGACACGCTTCTTCATTTAAAAATTCAGATCATTATTCGTTAACCGACAATAATCGAAAATGTTTATCTTATCTTTCTTATTGTTATTGGCCCTCCGGGCATAGCCATACCACTTAATGAAAATATAAAATAATATGCTTTTAACTTTACTTAACGTTCGTATTTTTAACTCGTCCAATTTTTAAATGAGATAAGTGAATCATAGAAGTTTTGAAAACGCCATATGGGTAATTAAGGGCATTTTTTTAATACACAATCTGTTATGTGGCCCATCGAAGCACTTTTTGGCTTGTATTAATAAATTATAATATCGACTAATAGTGTGTTTATATACGTACTTTGACGATAAAAATAATTACATAATTTTAAGTCAAAATATCAAATATTGAAGTGCACAGGTTGGTTATTTCAATATAGATCTTTGTCACTTCGACTTATTTACATTGATAAAAACGTTGGAAAAATGATAAATACCCATATTATAATAACACCTCGTGCTTTATATAATATTAAAAAAGAAAAGCAGTCAATTTCGTGAACTGTTATGCAATATGCTCCTCAAGAACTACATTAAAAATGTTTTTTTTTTTTTTAATTTAAATTTGTTTTATTAATATTACGATTGATATCAAATCAAAAACTGTCAAACTGGAAATACATTTTATAAAACGGTATTTATTATATATTTTTAGGCGATCGAAAATCGACATGCAATGGCTAAAGCGCTGTACTCGCGAACTTTCGCATGGCTCGTGAACCACATCAATACCTGCACTAATCCTGGACAAGATACGTCCAGATTCCTCGGCGTTCTTGACATATTCGGCTTCGAAAATTTCACCATCAATTCGTTCGAACAACTGTGTATAAATTATACTAATGAGAAGCTGCATAAATTTTTCAATCACTACGTTTTTGCATTGGAACAAGAAATCGTACGTATAATAAATAATGTAATGTAATATTCAAACTCGTCCGAATAGATGATAATAGTCAATAAATAACACGTATCTTTATAATTTTATATATTTTAATATATCAAATTTGAAAACGGTTTTATTTTATTTCCTTAAGTATCGTCAAGAAGAAATCAAATTTTCTCACATTCAGTTCACTGATAACACGACGTGCCTAGAACTGATCGAGAAACCACCTCGTTGTATTCTAAAGTTGCTGACCGAACAGTGTCATATGCCTAAGGTATTATTTTTTTATAGAAAAACTTTTATATTTACTTAGTATTGTTGAATAACTGTAATGGTTAACTGCAGGGATCGGACACTACATACCTGATGAATTTGCACACGGAATTCGAAGGTCATCCAAATTTCGTGAAAGGAGACGATCGTCGGAAATGGGAATCGGAATTCAGTATCATGCACTATGCTGGATCCGTAACGTACACTGCTAGTGGTTTTGTCGACAAGAATCGTGATGTTCAGCAAGATGTGTTTTTTGATTTCATGACGCGTTCGACAAACGTCTTTGTGCGCGAACTTATCAAATATCAGGTTGGTATTACCTGGAGCGCGTTGCTCCCGTCCCTTAAAAATTGCCGTTCAAAAGCATTAATATGTTTATTTTTAAGGATTTACTTGGATCTACCGTGTCACGAATGGGCAGTGCCAACTCAACATCCACTAGAGGAACCACCAAAGGTCGACCAACTGTTAGTGATACATTTAGGCATCAATTGCAAGCGTTGGTAGATGTCTTACAATCCACTAATCCATGGTACGTGACTTTGGATTATTTAGTCATGAATAAAATTTATCAAGTTAGTTTAATTATTTTTGCACTATAGGTACGTGAGATGCATTAAGCCGAACACGATAAAAGCGCCAAATCATTACAACGAAAAGTTAGTATTGGACCAGTTGAAGTACTTGGGAATGTTGGATATAATTAGAATTCGCAAGGAGGGATATCCCATACATCTGTCGTTTCACGAGTTTCTTAGCCGTTATCGTTGTTTGGTGAGAAAAAAACTACCCGATGAAGAGCGTTCAGCCGTTAAGTAAGTATATCGAAACGTTGTTTTTGTTTTCATTATTAACGGTAATATTATTATAACTAAGTCTATGATTTTGTTTATGTTGTGTTTTTTTTTACAGAGCGTTCTTGACGCTGCAAAACATTCCTTCGGAAGAGTGTCAGATAGGTAAATCGAAGGTATTTCTTCGGAACAAAGCACACGAACCACTCGAAGATCAACGGAAAGTAATGCTCAACTTGATGGCCACGATAATTCAACGAACATGGAGAGGATACTTCGTCAGGAAAGGTAGACAATATCATCATGTATTATTTTTGCGTTTGAATCTATATAAACTATTTTGATAAATATTCTTCAGATTACATCAAAACACGTACCGCGGTGATAATTGTACAAACAGCGTTCAAAAGTTGGAAACAACGTTTAGTGTTTTTGAAGAAACGTAGAGCTGCGATCGTTATCCAGTCGCATTTAAGAGGCGTTTTTGCACGAGAGGTAATACACAACGTTATTAAATCACAAACTACTGAGGAAAAGAAAATATTCAATTGGCAGTAATAATACATTAATACCACCGTTACTTGTTTCTTATTTTATAGGTTGCCGCGGCCTTGCGTGAGATGAGAAGAGTAGAAGAAGAAATGCGGAAACGAGAACGAGTAGAAGAAGAAAAACGCAAAGCCGAAGAGGTCAAAGAAAAGTATCAAGAGAATGAACAGTTAAATGAATTGCAAATCGAGAAAGACGAGAAGTAAGCGTATTTACGAACAGTATTATTTATATATTGAAGTACAATCTATCGGAGTGTGTAAGTCATAACCATGATTGATTTTTAGGATATCCGAAATAGAATTTGCAAAATTGGCGGAACAATTAAACTCAAGGCTTCAAGTAGATCCTGCGCACGAGTCCGTGGACTTGGACAACTTATTTGCGTTTTTATCTGATGTCCAGTCCGGGCGCACCATAGACACTGTAGGAGACCGTATGAAGGAAATAGTAAGCGATTTCGATGAGGTAATTTGCACTCGATTTATTTCTTCAGACTCACTGAGTTATACCTCATACAATCACGTATTCATATGGTTAACACAATTTTCGTTAGATTATATATTTATATTACAATTTTCTTTTTCGATAAAAGTGGTAAAATGTAGGTATATGTATAAACTATTGTGTTGAAAATTTATCATGTCACTTTCTAGTGAACAAATTGTACATGATATTATATCACACAGGTGAGGAAAATATTTTCACAACGTATGTAAGATTAACTAAAGAGGTTCTTGTTTTTCAATTTAATTATTTCAATCGTTTAATCACACCTATTTTTATCGCTAGTATTATGGCTATTTATTGTTGGCACTCTAACTAAATGACTAATATTTCTTCGCTTTAATTAACACGTTCGACGTCTACAAAATATGTTAATATATATGATATTTAGTGTTGTAAACTATTTGAATGACCATTTGTAATTAATAATATCATATATTTTTTTTAAGGAAGCACTGAATAGGTTAGGTACATAAAAATACTTTTAATAACTTATTATTTTAATTTTAATAGGTACTTATAATGTTGTAAGTACTTAATTTTTAGATTTTTTTTATAAAAATTAAAGTTCATGCAGATTTTAATATTAAGTATATACTTTTGTGTAAAGCATAAATAATAATTAATAATCTGATCTATGATTAAAAATAACTTATTTGTTGATAATTTTATCTTAAGTTGCCAAAACATTGAGTAATTAAAAGTACTGTACCTTGAACACTAATTTCATAATAATAAATATTTAATACTCAAATTGTATACAACACCGTTGAATATTTACGATGCTATAAATATAATATAGATACTGATTGTTTTCAAATCACATGATTTTAAATAACTCAAACGCACTTTATACTTTTTTATTCTTACGGTTCTATTGAACCGTATACTAAATCGTGTATTTAACAAGCATTTGCGTCATGTTTTGCGAATTTTCAGTTGGAGAGCGTAATCCAGCGAGAAATAGAAATCGTCGAAATGGAACTTGAGAGCAGAGGGCTAGAGAAATCGTCATCAGCAAATGCACTACAGATGGTGTTACCGGAGCCATCGCATCCACCACCACCTCCGCCACCGTTTAACCAGCAGCCGACGAAAGCCAATGATGAACCGATTTACGAGGCAGTTTTACCCAGGGATGAAGATAACGTGTCGCCGCCGCCCCTACCCACGCCACCACACAAACTGATCAGAGCCAAAAGTCCAGTGGCGATCGATAACGCAAACAGATCTATTAGTCCAGCCGCTACCGCTGCAGCTGCCCTGTCATCACCCCGGCAGAGCAGGCCTAGCTCCAGGACTTCCGGAACGGGGGTGAGTCAGTCATAGATTCTGACCATATCAATAAACTAGTTGTTTTTTACAATGATATCTATGTGTGTGCTTATTCTTTTGTGTCTAAAGCACTCGTATGATAATAATTGAAAACAATGAACCAATCTTTATCTTCGAAGTAGGTCTTTGATAGAAAATTTTAACTTGCTCAAACTTTGAAAGGTAAAAATGTCTCAGCATTTTTCAAAGTAATGTGGAAAACAAAAATATTATTACAAAAAATTGGAGTGGGTAACTACTTACGCAAAACCCGTTTACGGAAAAATCGATGATGTTTTGTTCTTTGTAGTTCAAAACAACCGTGGAGATTTGATATTTTCTCCAAATATTTATATAATATACTATAATTTTTGAAAAATAAATTTATTTTTGCTATTTATAGACATTTAAAATTTTATGGATTTGTATAGTTTTTCATAACTATTGTTTAAGAGTTAATTGATAATTTTAAAAAAAAGTCGTAAATCCGTGTAATGATAAGTAATAATTTGTCTGTTGTTTATAGGGCGCAAATTGGAAACACAATAATGGATTTGTTGAAGACACAGAACGCGATCAGAGGAGGAAATTCAGAGTGGAAAAGAAACTACAAGAAATGGAAAACATTCAAGAGAAATTGAATGTTGAACCGCTGCACGACAACTATCACGATATCCTTGAATTCGCTGAAAATTATTTCAATGCTCATGAGCGTTCACCGGAAGGTTCGAAAAACTTTCTTTATTATTCCCATCTTATTATCCATCCGTGTTATACTACTTTACCGGTAATAATTGCAATCGATGTTTCCTGTACCCCACAGGAACGATAATAGCCACGCTGAAGAGGAAAAGCAAGTCAATGGAAAAGATACCCATGTACGAAATGGTTTCGTTCCACCGTGGGTCAACTATTCCGACATCACACATACACATGTACGATCCGGATAATATAACGATAGCCATATCAATATTTAGGGTAAGTTTAGTAGTAATATTCTCGTTAAAATTACATCACATACTTTGCGTAGAATATTTTTTAAATATATCTATATTATCTTTTTCATACCTATTTAGTGTATTTTAAATTAATAGTTAATACATAGGTACCATGTTAACAATTTATAGTAAATTAATAAGAACGAATCAAAATATTAGTAACATAATACTTAATTTAGTCATAATAGCTATAGCGTAATTGCCTTAATTATATCATACTAAAGTAATAGAATAATATATGTATATTTTATACGTAACGAATTTAGTAAAAGAGTACTGCTTAATATTTGTATATAATTGAAGTTTTATATTAACCCCCTCCCCCACCTTACGCGAAAATAATTTTTAGGCACGCCCCAGAATGTTTTTACCTATTTCTTTTTGCACTGATTCATCTATCCAATTATTCAGTCTTATGCTAGTATTTTATCAAAGAAGTTAATTAAAAAAAAACTATATCATATACTTATTTCAATTAGTAAATTAGAATTCATGTATATTTAAATATTTAAATTTATTTTTTCTAATATATATTTAATAAACGCCTAATCAGTAGGTATGTATATACATTGTATACTATGAATCAAACAGTAAATTAAATCTTATGCAACTTTATCATACGATTAATTTCGTTTATGATATATTGAAATATTCCTATCATTTTCGTTTGAATTGAGTTTATCACGTGTGCTTTAATGATTTATAGGACCTCTGTAAATATACCAGAGGTGATATAAAACAAGATACCGAAGTACAAATCATCCAGTCGATAATTGGCGCAGGGATTAACCGCGAAGAATTGCGAGACGAAATTTTTGTACAGTGCATGCGACAAGCAACGAACAATCCTAACACTGAGTCTACTGAGAGAGTGTGGCTGCTCATTTGTCTCGCGATCGTTGCGTTTCAGCCCAGCAAGCTACTCTACAAAGTAAGTACATTTTTGTTTTAAATGGTTACTGTTGTGCAAATTTTTTTTCCACAACGCATTTGAACTTGCACAACGTTATTATAGTAAAACGATACATTGTCTTTCCAACTCATTGTACCCAAAAATTGTCCAACACAGGACACAATTATATGGTTACAATATTGATTATTGCGTATCCGTAAAGGACAGAAATCATCACCAACCGTTGTTATTATAATAGGAATAATTAATAAGATTTGTAAAAACATAATTGTACATGTAATACTTTGATTACAATATCTTTTAAATATAACTTGAATCGTTTATTTATGAAAGGTGGTGATCAAAATTTTTCAGATAAATTCAAGGTTTTTTTATAAAAATATTTTCTGTGATTATAGTATAGATAGATGAATTATTCATTTATAAAGAAGTCAAATTATGATAGATCTTTTTATGTATATAGAATTTCTATCATACAGTGCTATAATATCTATTTAGATTTTTTTAATTTTACATTTTGGACTAAACCTCTTTCATAAATAATCAATTAATTTATAAAATTTGAAATTCTATTTTAAGTTTTATGAATGCATTTTCAATATTAATGTTATTGTCAGTTTTGAAAATCGTATTTATAGTTACAGTTGTTATACCTTATGTAAAAAATACAAAAATTGATTTCATTATATTATGTTTGCTGCGTAAAATAAGAAGTTTATGGTTATAGAAATTTCAGAAATATTTTGGAATGGGTTTGTATGATTTTTGAACAGCTTAGCCCCTCCCTATAATTGTACTAAGGCAACTTTTTTTGCACATACAGAATTATGTGTGACTTCATTTTAATGTGTGTAACAACTTGGTAATTCATGTTACGTATTATACTCGTATGTATTTTGTAATTACTTTGTTTCCGATTGAAATTATTAATTTTTAACTTAATTTCTGCTTATATATAATAAATATATTATATATGAATAGTATATAACTATTGAAAAATATTTAAACAAAGAAGGGTTGTTAAATCTATTTTTAATTCGATATGTATATCATATTTGTCTACCAAATATTTCTATAATATTTTATGAACAATCATGACTCGCGAGCTTAATCGTTTAGAATTGTAAAGTTTTAAAATTTGCACAATTTAGTTGTAGCCAAAGTTAATACCTATAAAATATACACAAATTATATTATACAGCATTGTATTCGCATTGTTTAGTACTTCGTGAGCTTTTTGCGGAAGAATTTGCAGTGTGAAGGAAAACTCAAACAATACGTCCAATGGTGTCTCGATAATTGTAAAAACACGAAAGTGTCGTGTCGACAGTACCCACCGTCAACAGTTGAAATCGCGGTAAGTACACTCCGAAGATGAAGTGAAAACCAGCTTGAAATGCTCTTGTCAATGATTTTATCTTTGAAAAGGGTTTGAATTTTCATCGTATATAGTCGTATAGACAAACTTGCCACTACGAGGCAATTTTAAAGCACTGTCCTTCAAAAAAATTACATTAATCATAATTCTTGATACCCATATGGTATTACAAATCCAATTATTTATCTAGTCACCAGTAATTTAGAACTAATGCAATTATTCATATTCAAAAACATATATCCTCCACTTAATTGAAAAACATTGAAATATACGTCTAAGTTATTTGATAAATATATTGATTTCAAAATGTTCGAACTAAAAAATCTCTTTTTATACTGCAGGCTATGCGGAGACTCGGTACGATCGTCTGCAGATTTTTCTTCTTGGACGGCCGAACCAAAGCGATTGACATCCATCCAACGGACACGGCCAGTGATGCAGTTTACAAGCTAGCGGACAAATTGTGTTTGAGGTCGATTGACGGTTGGTCGATATACCAGAGTCGGTCAGATGGCGAAGAACATGTCCGTGCTCATTATTACCTGTACGACATCATCGCCGCTTGGCAATCGTACGTATACCGCATTTTAAGAAATTCCATACCCTTTCTCGATAAGGTTGAACTGCACTTACAATTACGAATATCAGTCAACGATCGGAAGAATATTTTGGATTTTTAATACTTAAAGTGTATTGTTTTTATTATAATAATAAAATTAGGAACAGCTTTAAATTTAAAAAAGTTATATGAAAATATGTATTTACGATTTTTATTAACTACCTAATTATAATTTATATAGTCTAATTACATTATTAGTGATGCCATACATATTRCAATTTTCAAGTAAAGCTAACAAATTTTATGATTTATGTATTATGGAATCGGAATATAAAAATTGAATGCWATTCAAACATTACCTACATGTTTTTGCCCAAAGTGTATTTCAAACATATTTTGTAATTCAACCATCCCCATCACGTGTCATTTTGTTAAATTTAAAAATCGTATGATTAAAATTATAAGTTCGTTATTATAATTATTATTTTTTTTTTAGATTCAAGTATCAAAAATTGTTTTATACATTTAAAAAAATAATTGCTTTGCTATGAAATTTCAATATACCAATAAAATGCTTATTCGTTTACTCAAAAAGTTTATACCGTTTAATATAATATTACTTATTCCAGGATCAAACTATTATTTACTTATTTTGGTTCACAGAAAACAACAAATCAAACAGACTACTCAATCGAGTAGTAGCTTTCCCTCTCTTAGCCGGCGGTCCAGCAACACGACTTTGACCAGTGGCGAAAACCGTTTTATATTCAAACGTCGACTGTTCCGGCATTCCAGAGAAATTTCACAGGACCCGATCGAAGTGAACCTGTTGTACGCACAGGCCGTCTACTGTGTAGTAAAGGTAAACAATCGTTGGAATTTTTGAATGCTACGTATGCATGAACATTTTAAAATTTTATTTTTTATTACTAATTAATTAATAACAAAATTTTTGTTTTTGTTGATTAGTGTGACGATTTTCCGGTCAGTGAAAAAGTTGCTCTCCAGTTGGCTGGACTTCAGTGTCAAGTGTCACTCGGCGATCCCAAAGAGTCAACTTTGGAGTATTACGCAGATGTCGAAAACTACATACCATTTAGGATAAGCAGAATAAGGAGTTCTGATACTTGGGTAGGTACCTATATACGTGTTATTGATTTTTGGAGAATATTGAGTTCTCGCAAGATACATCGCTGGTGAAAACATACTTACCTATGTACAAGGTGTTGTGCAGGTAGTTAACGATAAATTGTTCCGAGCGTCTTAAATGGTTGCACTAATGTCGTAAAAATCAACTTACGTTAAGTTCATAAGCATATGACATTTGTTAATTGTTATAGGATACAGATAAAAATAGAAAAGTGAGCTACACCTTTAATTTATCCATTAGGGACTCCAAATATAAAATTTTAAGTTTTTGGTGCTATTGTTTCAGTTTTAGTGCTATTTTCTGCTAATTGCATAATATAACGTTGTATTTTGTATTTTCATGTATCTACTTTATATTATGTGGTATGAAAAAGAAAAAAAAAGTTTTTCGTCTATTTTATTTAAATCTATAGGAAAATAGTAATTACCCACATTTTTATTAAATAAATGAAAATCTATTTTAAGTAGTCCGTTAAGTTTTTCAATCAAATAGAATACAATTATGACTTATTTTAGGTTGTGTAGTTGTATTACATGGTTCGTTTTTAAACATCTTATCTTGAAAAATGTTAATTTTTGCTATTATTTTTTACGTCCTCTTCGTTCTTTAAGGAATATTTTAGTTATTTTTAGTGCTTATGTGGGCCCTGCTCAAAAGATTTTCACCAGCTCACCAAACTTAATTGCCGCTAGAGTGATATATTTTCCTGCAATTACGAATTTTTAAAGTTGCCGGTGTAGTGTTGTTTTCGTTGATACAACTTGACTTCTTGTTAATATGATTTTTTACTGTTATAAAACTTAATGTTTTTTTTTTTTACTTTTTACTTTTCATATGTCTTGCACATGAACTTTACCATCGCACGCGTATTATGCATGCATCTGATTCGTCCTTCAGTACCTACTTGGTGCTAATCTGCTAATAAATAATAACAGTTAATATTATAACTTTGACGATATGATCTGATATTATTACAGGTCCCGATACTGGCGCAAGCTCATCAACAATATGGCGCTGGTAGATCGGAGCTAATGGCAAAGGTCTTGTACTTGTCGTGTGTAATGCAATATCCATTGTATGGCACCACGATGTTCCACGTCACCTACAGAGGTTACTGGTCGTACGGTAAGTTTAAATTATTATCACTTGGCGTTGACATTTTTTGTTAATATTTGTCTTATCGTTTCGTACAGGAAACACTCTAATACTCGGTGTTAACTGCGAAGGACTTATGTTGATTAAGCCGGAAGACAAATTCGTTATGTACGAGTTCAGGTATACCGACGTCGAATCAATATTTTTGGACCCCAGTGATTGTTTCCTGACCATTAATTTAATGAGACATCAAAACGACAACGCCTCCGCGCATAAGTGTTTCGTCTTCGAAACACAACAGAAATCCGAAATCGGTTCGCTCATTGTGAGTTATTGTCCAGGGCTGGCCGGTTGGATAATCGAAAACGAAGCACCGGTATGAAGCGAATACATTTCTATTACATACTTATAATCGAGGCTTTGAAATCAATGCACTAAAATACTATGAAGTTACTAGGAAATTTGTTGCGCAAAAAATTGCAAACATTTTAAATATATTTTCATATTAGAATTTTGAAATATCAATAATTTTAATATTCATTAACTGTTATTCAAATAAATTCAACAGGTAAACTAAAAAAAAAAATACAACTGCAATTTCATATTTAAAATCATATAACATAATTTTCAATTATGTTTTTAGTCATATCTGTACGGTAAGCTTTTTAAGATAGCCACACAATACAGAACTTTGCATATCAAAATATAATTGTGGGGTGTAGTGGCCTGTCAGTTGTGATGCGCACCATCGCCAGTTCATATCCCAGCCATAGGCGGCATCGCTTTCCAAGCAGTTCCTGCTGTCTGATGAGAGAGCCCCCCCCCGCCCGGGCGTAGCAGAAACCTACTGGTGCCCAATTCAAAATTCTGCCAAAAACTACTCATGTATACCAACAAACCTACCTAACCCAAAAACCTACAGTACCCTTCCCACAACCAATGGCCTATGTTGCCACGGGTTAATTAATGAAAATAAAATTTATGTATATCAAATTAGACGAATTCTATTCAAAATTAATTTGAAATTCAAACACATAAATTCACAGTACTGCCAAAGTTTTGAAAATTGTACTTTGTACATTAACGATTTTAATTTAACTTCACAGGTTAAAGCAATTACGAACGACGATCGCATTCGACTGTATCACAACGTGATCAACTGCCGGCGAAATTTAATCGATTCAGACATGTTGAATAAGCCTCAGGACACCTCTGGTAGTTTCTTAAAGAACACTTTGCGCAGGTCAGTGTTAAAACTATCTAGTTTACACATCGCATCAATGCATCAGTAGAAATCAATTAACATAAGTGTGTTTTTAATTTATAACAATTTTGTTTAGATTGAGCAAACACAAATTGGAAAAATTATGGGCTGAACACATAGGATCATTGTCCGAACACGGAGAAACATACAAGGGATTCTCTGGCTCTTATTGGTCATTCAGTAGACAGACAATTTCCCAAAGTCTCAGCCGGTTATCTGAACAAGACGAACAAATAGCTTTGCAAATGTTTCAGATCATATTAAAATATGCTGGATTAGGTCAAAATGGTAATGATAATGATAACTGCATTGACATATTTGATCTCAGGGGGAAATTTCATGGAGCTGCTATACGAATAAAACTTTAGGATATTTTATAGTTGAGTCCTGTGAACTCAAATTTACAAATGATTCATCCAAAAAAATCACAATAATAAATAATCAAAGCAAGTATAAACATTTTTTCTTCCCAATTCATCTACTTAAATAGGTATAAAATATGTCATAAAATCAATGTTAATTGAATACACATTATATAATACACCAGTATGGTTAAAAATGGTTCCTATTTATATGTTATTTACAATTGGATTTTCTCTTATTAATTCAAATATCGCATCGAACATAATTTTACTTAAGTTTAAAAATTAAAATTTTTAACATATATAATATGTTAATAAAACTATAAATTAATTTTGATATATTTTAAATTATGAAGAGTTTTTGATAAAATGTAATTTAGTTAATTTATTTTGCTTTTACTTATTCGTTCAATGTCTTTACAAAAAAATTTTTGGTATTAAATTTGACTTTTGTTTTCGTTGATTACTCCGAGTTACTTATTTCATTACCCATTACCTAGTACTGAGGATTCAGGAGAAAGCACTGGAGGTGAATTCCCTTCCCGTTCATTTTTTCGTTAATTAATAAAAATCAGCATAGTAAAAATGTTTTTAAGGGTATGTATCTCTTCCATACACAGATTTTGGATCTACTCCTGGAAAAGCTATCATATGCTGTATAATCATTTCATATCATTAGCAATACATAACCTAGACGAGATAACAATACAAATAAAATATATATGATATCAATATAATAGCTTATGTACCAGATCATGAGTAATAGTGTTCAATTTGATATAGATTCTAAATATTAGAGTTAAAACTAAATTTGAGTTACTGCGCATTCGCAATTGTATATAATAAACTTACAATAATCAGGCATAATATACTTGTATTATTGGAAGGAATTCAGTCATAATTATAATTACAGATATCTGACTGAACTGTATGACTCGTAAATTTTAAAACATCATCTTCCATAATAATCGTAACGTTTTTAATGTCAAAGAATCCCACCTACAATGTCTTCCACCACTATTTTTACCATGCCTATAACAAAGAACACGTCTAAGAATTTCATGACACGATACAACTTAATATCGGCTTCTTAAATTGTATGAGAATTAGATATCACTCAGCAGTTTTTTATTTTTAATTTGCAATAGGAGAAGTCGTCCGACGAGCTGAAGACGAACACGTCACCCTAATACAAAACGTCATGGAGAGATCAATGCGCAAGGAATCGTTGCTCTGCGAATTGTACCTGCAACTGATTAAGCAGACCACCGAACATCCAGATCCAAACTCTAGAGTCAACCTCAGGCATTGGGCTCTGTTGTCACTTACGTGCTCAGTCATCTTGCCACCGCAACGTAACATTCGAAAATATTTGATTGCACACCTACGGAAGTGCGCCGGCGATTGTGTGACCGAGGAAGGAAAGTACGCCAGGTTCGCGGAAAAGGTGAGTGTGTGGAAATCGAAAGGTATAGATCCAGTGTGGTCTTTGGTAGAATTTTTTTGTAGACTATATCTATATATGTCCAAACAAAGATGTGGAATATGGATGCAATAATTTAATGAGTGTGTAACGATTTTTTATGATTCATAAATTTAACAATTTTATTGATTCCGTTGGTTATAATATTGTGCATGAAAATACTCACACTAAACAATCAAAGATAGTCGTGATTTAAGAAGTTTGGAGTAGGTCATATTAATGAAGTAGTTGAGAAGTGTAACGATTTTAAATCTTGAATATGTTTTAAATACCAATTCAAAATATTTTGAAATCGGTTATTCATTGTGAATACCTACAATGATTTTTACGTAATAACGAGGTTATATGGAAAAACGGTTTCTTTCGTGACAAAATTATTAATGTAGCTCTTATAGCAGATTCACCAAATTTTTACTGCATTATAAAGTAGAAGAAAACTTTTTTTGTGAAGTTTTTAATTTAATGATATTAATACTCAATAGTATTTTATAATAAACAAATGAAAACAAAAAATTAACTTTGGTATTAGTTTGTCCCACACAAAACCATTTTAATGGATATATTATGGCAGGTATATCCCTCTTTTAACTTTAAATTATATGTAGAAAACAAATCCAACTTGTGTTACGTTAAAAAATATAGAAAGAAACTTATGTGCTCACTATACATTTTTTTATATATATATATCAATTTTATAGTGCGTATCGAAAACCCAAGGAACGAGGAGACGACAGTGGCCGCCGTCTAGAGAAGAAATATTGTGCACGATAAACAGGAGGTTAATTTACGCCCGATTTCATTTCATGGACGGACAATACCATGCCATTGAGTTTCACCCATCTTCAACGGCTAAAGACGTAGTGGAAATCGTTAAGAATAAAATTGGACTTAGAAAAACAGCGATGGGTTAGTAACACCAAAGTGATGAGAATAGTGAAATAATTTGAAAATATTTAGAATAATTAGGGTTAATATGTTTTGCGATCTAAGAAACTATAGAAAAATCATACAAATAAATACAAAAATAACAGAAAATTTAAAAATTAAATAGACATATATTATATATTATTATTATTTTTTTTTTTTTTGACATTCGAAGTTTATTTTAAAACATTCATTATGTATTATTTGAGAATCTGTTAACAAATATTGATTCAATTATTGTTTTAAAAAAACCCATTTTTAAATTACCTACCAAATATATAACTTAGGTAAATTTATATTTTTATTTGCCAAAGTTTCCTTTATTCATTATTTTAAATCTAAAAAAATACGTATTAAATGAAATTTCGTGTTACAGCACGTGGTACGTGGATAAATTTTAGGTACATATAGTTTACAATAATAACTATTTTATTTTATTATTATAGGATATGCGATCTACGAGGTGTTGGGCAATTCCGAGAGGAGTTTAGTGGCTGAAGAAAAACTAGCCGACGTCATGTCGAAGTGGGAAAGATACAGAAACGCCAACACTGGAACTGCAAACACGTCCAAGCCCATCCGAAAGCACAGCCACATATTCCTATTCAAAAAACACCTATTCCTCGACCAGTACATGGACCTAGATGATCCGGTCGAAAAAGAACTGTTGTATCATCAGGTGCTACATGGCCTCCGGTGTGATCGATTCCCGGTGACCGATAACGAAGCGGTTCGTATTTTTGTCTTTTTTTACGACGAATGGACATGAGTGAAAATTAGAATTTTAAATAATTAATTTTTAATTTTTTTATTTGTATTTAATGGATAATGGGAGTTAGCGTGTTGGTGATATGCCCAAATAAAAGCTTAAAAATAAATATTGCAGAAAAAATAAGGTAGATCGTACATTGATTGTTGGATCACGTAGGTTCACTTTACCACATTAATTCTGCATATAAATTAATGTAACCATTAAAATAAACTATAAAACTATGTTCATAAGAGTCTAAGAGTCTCTAAATAGAATTTCAGCTACTATTTTACTTAAGTTTATGATACTGAAGCCTAACCTAACGGGTATTGTTATTTTTGTATTGTGGTTTTAGGTTATGTTAACCTCTTTACAAGCTCAAGTAGAATTAGGAGACTGCGAAGACACCGTACTGGAATACCGACAAGTTTCGTGTCACTGCCTCCCGTCGAGACTAGTCACCAATATACCAAACGAGGATGTTGCGATGCACCACCAGAGTTTGAGAGGAATGACTTCAGCTGAGGCCAAGAAAGCATTCTTAAACTTAATCAAAAGCTGGCCACTGCACAGAGCTACTATTTTTGACGTTATGGTTAGTATAATATTGACTATTGTTTGAGAACCATAATTTGCATGCATTGTATTGAATTTCGTCAAGATATATGACATAAAAAAATTTGTTAGACATACAATGGAAATGTTTGTACAAAAAAGTTAATTTATAAAAATATTTTTTTTTTTAAACTAAATTTTTTTAAATGTTAAAATGAAATAAATCATGTTTGATGCAATGACTTACTGAAAACATGCCTATGCATATTATCATCTTATGTTTACATTTAAAATATGCATTAAAATGAAGTTTATGAAACAATATATAGGTCATTATATAAGTATGTATSTATTATAAGTTTTTGACATAACTAACATAACTTATACTTATACCTACGCTAAAAATAAATCAAACCATGAAGCGTTATCTAATAAACCTATCTAGGCCTAATTAAGTGTTATATTTTGTATGTTGTAAGAACAAAAATAATTTTTATAACGAGATGGGTTGTAGCTTATTGTAGGAGTGTTGGACATTCTAAAATATTAACAGATATATTTGGTTTTTAGCAATCTTTCACCTCAAATTGGCCACGTGTCTTGTGGTTGGCTGTGGATCAAGCCGGGTTGCATCTACTGGAACACCGGTCTCGAAATGCGTTGTGCTCGTACGAATACGATAGTATCTTGAGTTACAGTCCAGCCGTTAACTGTCTGATGATCATCACGGGCAGTGACAAAAAACAGAGCAAAATAATATTGACTACTTCACAGGTGACGTGTTTTTATATGAATCCTTTTTTTGGTCACAATCACCTGGTAATAGCCAAGTTTTTTTTCCCATTTACAGTAGCCAACATTGACGCGAATAGGTTCCAAAAATACTCGAATATATAAATTGGATATGAACTATGGTTTGATGGG